ACAGAGAAACTGCTCTACCTGAAACGTTCATAAAAATACCAAACTTCAGAAAGGAAACCCTTGAGCACCACAGAGAAGTGCTCCTGCTGCCTTCCCCGTGGGTCTCCCCTAAAGGACACCTGTTTTCATTGTTTTACAGCCCCAGTTGTTTTGCAAATCTGTGTACTGCCTGTGAGCACGTGGGCTCATTTATTGTGGCTTGATCCTCTGGGGTGATGGGGAGAGACAAGGTTTCTTGGAGTCTTTGATTTAAAAGATAGGGAGATTCTCTTTGAGCTGAAAGGGTTTCAAAGGGAGGATAAAAAACTGACAAGCATCTCCCCCTCCAGGCTTTGGAAAGTAGGAAACAAATGATTTAGCAGCACCAATTTCTCTGCTTACAGCCATGTGTGAATTCAAGGATTTTCCCTGAGGGAATTAGGTCATCTGCATGTGGCTGGTACCTGGGAAGGGTCATGTTGTCAGAAGGAGATGCTAGATTGTGATCTGTGGAATGAGCCTTGATGAACACACCCCATGGCCCCCGTGAGCTGCCTCTTACCCCATCCTAGAGCAGACAAAGAAACCAACTCCCTCTGGAGCCCAGGGAAGCTGCAGCCTGTCACCTACGTGCCCACAGGCAGCCTTGGGTGCCCTGAGGGCTGCTGATGGTCTGGAGATTTTGCTAATATGAGAGTAGCTGTCAAACTGAAGTGTCACAGACATTGTCAGCCTGGCACGGGTGCAGAGGGTGAGTCTGCTCCGCACCAGTGTGACAGAGTGTGAGTGTCCAAAAGCAGGACAAACTCAGCCTAGAGGGGCCAAGAGCTTGTTTGAGGTGGGTGATTTGAACCGGGCAGTGGGGCTCAGCTTGATGATTTTGGCGCTCAGGAGAGAAAAGGGGCAACACCTTAGTCCAAAGCCAACTGGAGATGCCAAACAAAAGCTTGCTTAGGCTCTGGTGGTGAATTGCTTCATGGGGACGTGCTGCTCAGATGCTTTATTGAATTTTCAAGGAGCAGTTTTTCATGGGGGGGGTGAAATATGAGAGAGAACAGAGTGTTCCAAGTCACTAAAAATGAACAGAGCACCAGCTTTACAGGTTTGTGAATGACAAAAAACCGTTTATTTAATAATGGGGAAAAGGCCGGAACATAGCCCGGGGTATCAAGAAGGAATTAACAGAATAAGACACAGGCTGAGGAAGAAATACGAATTGTAGCTGTCCAGCCTGTTGGGTGATACAGGTTATTTTGCCTAAGTTTCAAGAAGCTTGCCATGCTGTTCCCTTAAGGGCCTGAGATGTTAAATATACACTTCCCCGGTGAGTAAAGCAGATTGTTAATTAATTTTGTCTTGTTAAACCTGGTTGCTGAGCCTTGGGGTCCTGCATGAGATAGACAATCCTACAATAAATTCTGTATTCCCTCTGGATATGTGTCGCCTTCTCTAGGTGGTCTGGATTTCATTTAGTCCCGGTACAGTGAATTTCTAGCTGTATAAGCAGAGAGGCTGGGCCTGTTGTTGTTTTAAAGCAGGTTGCAAATCCTTCTAGAACTGAGCTCTGTTCTCATGTCAGGTGAACGCTGCAGCCGCTGACACTGGGAGAGGGGAATGAGGTGGGGAGGGCGAGTTCAGGCTGAACGTGAAACCTCCCGTGCTGTGGCACGTTCTGGCAGCAGCAGCAGCAGGTGAGGCCCCTCGTGCTGGGGCTGTGTGGCCAGTAATTGGTTTCTCTAATGGCAGTGGCTACTCAGAAGCAGCGGAGCTGAGGCAGACACAAAATGTTGTTTTGTTGTGGCTGGGACACCTGCTCAGCCCTGCTCGTTTCTCTGCTGAGATGTGCTGGCTCTGCAGAACTCCGTGTTTTCCGGCCCATCTGAGAGCGAAGGGTGGAGGGACACGTTGTCCTCTTCTGGACATAACATTCCGATCGCTTCGGAATAAATGACCAGCGCTTGGGATGAAGAGTCAGGCCACTGCTTGTGGAGGGGGATGGGGAAGCAAGGGACTAAGCCAATTCAGAGACAGAAAATTCAAATTTAACATCAGACCATGAAACAAACAGTTGAAGCAGAGGGTTAAAAGCTCCATTGTGTCAGAAAAAGTGTGTGATGTGGTCATTAAACTTCAGATTCCAGCATCGAGCTTTTTCAGGGGGCATGCAGAGCTGCAGGCACTTCCAGCTGTCTTTGTGCTGAGCAGTCAGTATGTGTGAGACCTCCACAGTGTAGGTTTGTAACTTCCCTCCGTGTCCTGTTGGAAAATGAGTTTGAGATGAGCCATCGAAAGAGTCAGGTTAAACAAAATCCATCTGGGATTAATACGGATTCATAATCCTACTAAAGGAAGCTCTCAAATGGGGAAGAATATCCCAGTAATTTTGCTTGGATCCTCTTCACTGAGGTGTATGTGCTGTGAACACGAGGGGCAAGGGCAACATAGCAGGACTTCAGTTAAATCCCCTCAGCATCAGGATTAACGTGCCCAGTTCTCAGGCTGCCTCCTCTCAAACAGCAGCTCCTTCAGCTCTGACTCCATTTCAGAGGAGCTTGTGGGGGCAGCTGTAGTGGCTTCATTTTCCATAGCAGCAGTTTTGCCCCCCACATGTCACAGGAATTTGTTAATTTTTCTAAACTTGTCCTGACACTGGAGTTTAGTCGTGAGCTTGACCTGCATGGAAACGTGTGAGCGCCCTGGGAAGTGGAGAGGCTGGAGTGTTACCCTGTCCCCATCCCTGCTGCTGTGATGCTGAGGGACACGGGAGCTTTCCCCCAATTCAGGGCCTTCAGGCCCAGCCTCTGACTGAGGGACACACCCCCCTTCCTCTCAGGGCCATGTTTCGCCCACTGCTTCCCTTGTCTGGTTGGGTTTTTTTCTCACACCAGCTTTTTCCCCGTCTCTCTTCCCCCCTTTCTGCTCCCACACATGCATAAAGCATTGTTTATTTCTCATCCTGCCCTTTCTGGTTTTTTTTCTCCCTCCAGACTTTATTTCTATCTTACATTAATTCCAATCCCCTTCCCTGGAAGTTGGGCTGAGGGGAGAGGTTTCAATATCGCTGCTTTGAAACAAACCTGTTGGGATTTGTAATGGACAGCCAGATGCTTGCAGAGTGATGTAAGGGCATATCACTGACATCCCTGAAATTCAAGGAAGGAGAAGCAAATCTTCAGGAAGTCAGTGGAAAATGGGAGTTTTTGCTGTAGAAAGATGGACAATAGAGAGGCTTCTGTGGGTTTTTCTTCTTTAAGAAAGATTAAATGGATGATCTTTATCTTCCTCTTAACAGCTAAATCACACAATAATCTCTTCTGTTGATTTCTTCCACTGAAACCAAACAAAACACAGAAACAAGATTGCTGAAGGTGGAGAAAAGCGAGGGTTTTTGAAGCACGTCCAAACCACCAAGAATCATTCACTTTCCTTTCAAATGCAGCATTAGCAATAGAGCTTTAAATCAATGAAAGGTCTAAAATTAGATTATATTCCTGAGATCAGATGTGAATCACAAGTTAATCATATTTTCTTTTATTATCACTGTCTTTACCCTTTTATTTTATCCTGAGAAATTAGGTTTCTGACTTGAAAACAGAGTGAACTGTGAAGGCATCAAGCCCTGCCGGGTGAAACCACACCAGATCACCTGTGGATGGGTCCCAAAAATCTGGTGTTTTGGAGGCTCAGGTTGCATCCAAAACTGAGCTTGGGTGATTTATCAGTTAGTGCTGTGAATCTCTCTCTCCAAGCCGTCTGATGTTTCAAGTAGCTGTTTCTTAAGTTAATGAGAAAATATCACTGCTTAAGCTTGCTAAATAAGGTTTACAGCCCACTCTGCAAGTGACAGGCGAGGACAGCAAGCAATTATCTCTTGACTGTGGCACAAAGCTCAGGGAACTGTATTCTCCACTGCTGTATTTTTAGCTGGGACTGTGGTGAAATGCACCCATGTCTGAAGCAGAGAGGTACGAGGTGACCTGTGAGATCAGCGCCGGGGGGTGAGCATGCGGGCCGTGCGTGTCTGCTGGGGTGAAACGCTGCTGCAGTTTCCTTGCGGGCAGCACCAGCTTTAGCCCCAGGTTTGTGTGCATGACACTGCAGGAACTGGAATGTATGCCTCAGAGGTGGCATTGGCACGGTGCCTGTGCGTGTGTGTGTTTCTGGGAGAGGTGTATTTTGGTGGATGTGTTTCTGGCGGGCTGTGGGTGAAGAGCGATGGTGACCTGCACTGTTGTGTGGGTGCAACAAACGCTGTGGACAGTGCAGGTGTAATGAATGAGTGGTTTGCCTGTAGGATACAGATTCACATGAACAAAAATGCTGGTGTGGCAGGATGGGAGCCTGCAGAGCCCCTTGCAAAGAGTGTTCATGGTCAGTGGGAATGTCCTCAAAGATGTCACCGTCTGACAAACCTCCAGCTTTTCTCCCTGCCATGGATCACGTTCCAGTGTCTGTGCACGGGAAGGCAAGGCTGGGTCTGGCCACAAAGGGGTGACCACACGTGCCAGCAGCACAACCCCCCTCTAATGAGGGTTCCTGTCACTGCAGAGCAGCGTTTTGGTGCAGCTCAGTCTTGGGACAAAGCACGTGATGGCTCCAGTCTGGTGTTTGTGATCAGAGGGAGACAGGTGTGTGTGAAAGGGCTCCTCCACCTTTCCTCTGTGCTGCCTCAGCACTTGCCAAGGCATAATTAGTGGGGCTCTCGTGTTTCAGGGCAGGCTATTGAGCAGCTGCTGAAGTGCCAGCTCAGTTGGTAGCCTCAAAAACAAAACGTCCCTTGTTTCTCATCACCACTGTGAAATGCTGCCTTCCTGAACTTGGGCTTGGCCCTGCAGCTTTCAGGGTAGACAAAATGTGAGAATTTTGCCAATGATGTATTCTTCTAGGTCTGTTTAATATCCGTTATCAATTTACTGTGCCACTTTAATGAGATTTTGCTTTCTCCATCTCCTCCATAGAGCTGATTACTTAGTGTGTGTGGCTGGTGTTGATTTTTTTTTTTTTTTTTTTTTTTTTTAAAGGAAACTACAAGTGAAGAAGTTCAATGTTTGCTTCAGCTGAAGAGAATATTTCTCAAGTCCTAGTGGGAAAAGGTGAAAAAGAGAAGCAGAGGATGTTGCTAGTGAAGCCATGACCAGCAGTGTGATTGTCAACAGGAAGCAAAGCGTTGCAGTTGATGTGACGCTGCAGTACAGCACTCTCGTTGTGTTGCGTTCCCTGCTGGACTCTGTGGCCTGGGGAGCAGTGTCTGCCCACGAGAGAGACTCTCCTGTCCGTTTGCCTTCTGGAGTTTGAATTGTTCTGCCTCTGGTTAATCCACTTTGCTGGAGCTGGCAAGCCCTGGGCTCTCTCTCTTGACCCCTGGTACCGTGAAGCGGTGGGACAGCCATGGAGAGGGCAGGGTGGGTGTGAGCAGCCTGCAGGGCTGGCAGGGAGGGCTCCGCAGACCCCCGGCAGCTTCGCGGTGTCTCGGCTGCTCAGAGCTCTGCAGATATGAACGCTGAGCTGGCCCGGCCCCCTCTCACACCGGCCCCGCTGTCCTCACCATGCTAGTACATGGGCAGGACGACTTCCTCTCAGACATCGCTTACATCATCCTGGAGCTCATCATCGCCGTGCTGGCCATCCTGGGCAACATCCTGGTCTGCTGGGCCGTCTACCTGAACAGCAACTTGCAGAACGTCACCAACTACTTCGTGGTGTCCCTGGCTGCTGCTGACATTGCCGTGGGCGTGCTGGCGATCCCCTTCGCCATCACCATCAGCACTGGCTTCTGTGCCTTCTTCTATGGCTGCCTTTTCATCGCCTGCTTCGTCCTGGTCTTGACTCAGAGTTCCATCTTCAGCCTCCTTGCTATCGCCATCGACAGAATCATTGCCATCCGGATACCCCTCAGGTAAGAATGGGCTGGGCTGGGGGGTCAGGAGGTGGGAGTGATGAGGGCTGAACACCCCTAGGAGCGACAGACCTGGAGATGAATCAAGGAAGGAAAAGTTAAATGAGGATCAGAGCTTTTCCTCTTGTATCATGGAAAAAAACCCTTTTCTAGGTCTTAAAGGCTGCCTTCGCTGCTGGATTTTCTGGTCACTTCATTTTCCAGTTCTGCTCTGTCCTCGTATGATGCGTGTCCATGGCATTGCAGCGCTGCTGCCTGGGAGCTGCCATTCCATACCTAGACAGGATCCTGCATCAATAACCTGTGCCCTGAGCTGCAGAAGGATCACTGTGGGAAGGGGGAGCCAAAGCAATAGATGGTGTAGGGCAGAAAGGGGGTGAGGTCAGGGCTTGTCTCCTTCCCTGTGGGGAGAATGGGGAGCTCTGCCTGCAGCTGTAGCAGCAGGGCTGGGGGAGTGTGGATGGGGCTTCTCACAGGGGTCCTGTAAATGTGAAGGGAGAGGAAGCAGCAGGCCGTGAAGAAATGCGCCTTAGGAAGATCTGGAGCAGCTTAGGCACTGCCTCTGGATGCAAAGCATGTATCAGGTCAAGGCAGAGGCTTGTCCCAGCCCAGACCTGTAGGTAGTTATTCTATGGAGTTTAAAGGAAGAAAAGGATGTTACAATATCAGAGCATGAAAGCTGATTATGACTGGCTGGTGTTGGTGTGCAACCAGGGAGGCTGACCTGGGACAAGGGGAAGTTTGGCACACACACACAGGGGCTGCTCCTCAGCTCAGTTTTCTAGGAGCAGGTTGTTGTGGTGGGCTGTGTCTGGCCGTGGGTGTGAAGCAGCTTTGCATTTCTGTGACAATGATTTCGAGTCATTCACTGAGCTCAGGAGATGGAAAGGAAGCCCCTGGAGAGGCTGGTGCAGGAGAAGTGTAGGAGTCTCCTTCCTTCCTGTCTTGTCTTAGGAGGATGCAGCACGCTCCCAGGAATGGAGAGACTGCCTTCCTCTCCGAGTAACAAATGTGGCTGCAAAAATGGAACAAATCTCTGATTTTTCTGCTCTTGAGGTGGAGTTTTTTTGCACATCCTCACTCCTCTTGAGCTTAAATCACTTGCGTTATCTGTGCAATTTAGTTTTGTCTCTTCTGAACCCTTTGGTCACGCAGCACTTATGTCAATTAACACAAACCTCCCAATCAAAACCAGACTGGGAGCCCTGGAGCTGTGGAATTGCCTTTCCAGGTAGGCCAGTGCAGCAAAGTCTTTCCTGAAGCCTTTTCTCAGCAAGTTTGTGCTGCTGTTGTGTTACCTTTAATTGCTGGTCTCCAAACCCCATTAGTCACACCTGTTACAGCCTCTAGTTTTGATGTGGTTAAAAGGAATATCTATTGCATTCCACTGTGAAGGAAACTCTATCAATATTATTTACCTGTAAATTGGATTGTGTCCGCTTTCCTACAATTCTGCTATAGATATTCAGTGTATAAACCAAAATAATGGTAAATGGTACAAGGAAACACATAGAATAGCCCTCGGGAGCTGCCTCTGAAATGATTTTGGGAAGGGCTGATGTCTTGAATTCATCTCTCACGAGCTGACTCCGAAGACTTTTGCTGATGGTTTAAGCACTCTTATTGCTAGAGGGTGACTTACCAGGAAAAGGATTTTAAAAATCTGGATTTCTGCCCATTTTTTTGGGCTATCACTGTAACTATATTGTCTTGAAAATGTAATTTCCTGGAACAGCCAAGGTAAAGAGTCTTTTAGAAAAAACAGACTTCATCAGTGCTGGGCACGATACTGGTTTCACTATCTTGTTTTTGAAAAAACAGAGCACACCCTCTTCTGCCCAGGGAACAGAGGGGTTGATTGGATGCAGAAACCCACAGGTAAATCTGTGAGTTCCTCCTCCTCTGTGTCCTCTGCTGGTTTGTCCTTTCACAGTAGGAGTAATGAACTTGTCAATTCTGTTTCCCCTTCAAGAATTTATGGATGAATAAACATTAGATTTATAACCTCAGACATGCTGAGAAAGTGAAAGCTGATTTGTGAAGAGGGAAATGTGATATGATTGAGGCTGCTCACATCCTCTTTTTTTTTTTTTTTTTTTCCTTTTTCCTTTTTCTAATATCTGTTTGCCTCAAAAATGTGTCAAACAATTGGAAGGAAAATTCTGCCACTAAAGATCTGTTGTTTTCACCCCATTCTTTGATACCTGGTAAAGCCCCTTCTCCTTCTCAGAGGACATGAAAGATAAAACCAGGTATTCCCAATATTCATTAGATGAACGGTCTTCAGTAACTCAGACTTCCTTCACTCTTGTGAAACCAAAAAGGGCCAAACCTATATTTTCTTCTTCTGTTTCTTTTTAACTATTTCATGTCTGATTTGCCCTAATGAAGGTAATCAGATATGTGGATGTGTTCCCAAACAAATAAACTGCCAGTATTAAGGAGACAGCAAAGTGGGATTTCTGACGCTGCTTGGGTTTGTATCCCTCCGTACATAATTAGTTACCTTTGAAATGATTTTTCTGTGGAGAAAAGACCCTCTTTCAAAAGATTGTGATGAGGAAAGACATCTACAGGTGAAATTTAAAGATAGAGAAAAGCTGACTTGTGAACGTCATATGGGTTCTGCCTTTCAGGTGATTAAAACACGGTGTAGAATTTGGTAAACTTTCCAGAAGTTCTCAAGCACTTCGCTGAATTCTGCCAGGTTTTATACAAATGTAACGCTCTGCAAGTGGCAGCAAAGCCCTCCCCTGGCAGGGAGTCCGAGCCATTGTTCGCCCTGGGATAAAATCCCAACCTCGTCTCTCACGCAGCAGGCACCTGAAAACCTGCGCTGGCGGAGGTCGAACCCCCGGGGGCTCCAAATAAAACTGGCCGCGAGTCTGAGCCCGGGGTGCAGCCACGGGCCAAGAACAATCGCTGCTTTCCAGGCTCGGCGGTGCCAGCAAACGCTCCGCTGGCGCCGTGCCCAGCCCGTGCTCCCGTGCGGGCATCGGTGTCGAGATACTCCCGGGGGAAGGGCAGGGACCTCGGATGCACTGGAAGGACAGGGGGAAACTTTCCTTCCTGCAGCCGAACGGAAAAGTTTTCTCAGGTTACTGAGGTTTCTGCTTGCTCTGTGTGCTGGATTCAGGCGTGAAACACGCAGGTCATCCAGTGCCAGCTGCAGTAACGTGCTGCAGCACAGGCCTTTTCCTCTGCTGAAAGCTGCTTTTCCTACCGGGATGCGGAACGGGACCTTTGTGCTCGCTGAGAACAGCCTGTCTCAGCCTGAATTCTCTAGGGCTGCCTTCTGAAATGCTCATACATGAGCATCTGAACCGGTGAATCAGAGATTTAGTGTTTTATTGTCACTTTGAGCCATATGTGGACTTGTTTCTCTCCCTGTTCACCATAAACCTTTTATGGCAGGCATTTCCTACGTGTGCTCATGTTAAATAGATTATGGGCAGATTCAGCCTAATATGAGAGAAGAGTAATTTCCCTTCTCTTTTGAGCATGGGCACAGCTTTGAAAGCAGTGCCTGTTGTCTGTGGCTTCATGGGCTGCAGCAGAACTCGCTGTTACCAAGGTTTTAGTCTGGAAGCTCATCGTGTTGCGAGCAGAACAACTGCCCAGTGTTTGCCCAGCACTCCTGCTTCTGCTGTTTAGAGCAGAAGAAATAATGGTGGGCACCTGTGCCCAGCTGTGGGATCCCACCCCACCCTGTCTCCACAGCATGGATGAGCACTGGTATCAGCTGGTACCTGGCAATAGGGGAGGAGGGTTTGTGACTGAGAGTTTTGGGAAAGGGCTGTTTAGGTGGTGCATGAGAAGGTCTCAGTTTGGTTTCTTGCCCTGCCACAGATTTCCTGCATGATCTGGGATTGCCAGTGTCTCTCATTTCCAGATATTTGTAATAGGGACAGAATATCCTCCTTGGTCCTGTTCCTGAGGGCCTCAGCTCCCTGGGTTGTGGGATGCTGGGTGGGTGTGTTCAGTGAGCAGTGTTGTGTAGTGGTTTGTTAAACACCATTGAGCACTGCTGGAATTCACATCAAAGCCCTCAGCACTGAGCACAGGCTTTCTGGGGTGATGCTGTAAAGGTGTCTGAAACCTGCTCCATGCATGGCAGAGCCATCTGGCCAGGATGGCAGTGCTGTCCACCAAAGGAAAGTTTAGAAGATAGGCAGCAGGATGGTTGGATGCTGTGATGGTGAGTTAGGCCACCTATGATCCTACCTCAGCCAAGTCAGCCAGAGGTGTCTCTTGTGGATCCTAGAAATTAAGATCTCCTAAACCAGTGAACACTTCTCAGTGGGTACCTGGCCAACACTGGGCCACAGACTCTGTCACCAGATGCTGAGAGCTTTCTCTCTTAACCCTTGGAGATACTGAGCAAGGCACGATGGACATGCACTCCAGCACAACACACTGCAGCTGGAAACTGCTTGGGTTGAGTGCTGTTCTGAAGCCTTGTAAAGTTTCTTGCATGGGAATCCCCAGAGGGTAAGAGGGAGGGAGAAGTGAGGGGGGTGTTTGTCTGGAGCAGTAGTGATATATATTTTTAGTGGAAGGGAAGGGACATCTCTAGTCGTGGGATAACAGCTGCACAGTTTCAAAATTCCTCTGACAAGATGTAGCTAATTCCAGGGCTGCAGGGTTTTGAGGTTTTTTTTGTTTTGTTTTTTGTTTTTCCAAGCTTCAAGTGCCTTCAGCCACTCTCTTGCTTTCTGAGTGTACATTTCAAAGCACAGATGCTGTTTTGCTCTTTTAATGAGGCCTGAATGTGAGCAGCTCCCTGCCACCATCCATGCTGTGCCCTTAGCAGCCCCTCAGCACAGAACAGGATCCACTAATTGCTGGAAAAAAACCTTTTTCTCTCTCGGAATCAGCTGAGTTCCTCCCTCATTTCTGGAAGGAGGATTTTGGTGTATTTTGTATACTGGGAATTGTGTGGTTGGCTCCCTCACCCGCTCCCTCTTTTCTGATTTTGAAATGCAACTGAGGAAGGTCTCATGTGGAGCCAGTTTTTCCCAAGGCCCATCAGCAGGGATTTAAAGCACGTGCAGGATCTCTGCTCTGTGCTGTGCCCAGCAAAAGCAGCCCCTCTCCTTGCCTGTCTTGAACTTGTGTTGGGATAGGAGCGTGAACCTGTGGGAGCAACTATTTCATTGGGAGATGGAAAGATTTCTGTGGCTTGTTGTATTATTTCTTTTAATGTTTGTTTTCTGAGAGAATCCTGGGGGCAGAGGGAGCACTGGGTAAACACTGGGAGCCCAGCGCTACCGTTGTCCGATCGCAGACACACGGGGTCAAGTACAGTGTGGGACCCACGCTGGACAATGTGGGAATCTGGCCATCTACTTTCCATGCTGAGCATTACCAAGGGAAGGAAATTGCATTGAAATGTTAAACTGCTGCCCTAATTTACATTTTCAGAGGGAAGAACTGGTGGAGTCAGCTCAGGACTCGCAGTAACCTGTGAGGCCTTGGGAACTGGCTGATATTTCAAACAAACTGATGTCCCGCTGCACTGTCAGATTCTTACCACGCTGCTTTTTGTTCCTTTCAACAGATCTTGGAGGATTTACTGTTAGGAGCACTGGCTTCAGCCAGGCATATCAATATGTGCACTGCTGAGGTCCCTTTGGTGTGTGCAGTGCAGCCACAGCACACCTGTAGTCAGAGCTCTGTCCTCAGCTTAAATTCCCCCTTTCTGAGAAAGACCTGGGGTCAGCTTAGCTGGGCTGGGGAGGAAAACTGCTGTCTGAATTGTCTTGGTTATTTTGGGAAGGTTGGTGGTACTGGTCTTCCCAAAAGTGCCGTTGTGGAGCAGAGTGAGGTGCTGTGCAAGGCAATGCCAGCCCGGCTGCTGCAGCTGAGCCAGCAGGATTTCCCTGGAGCACACCAGAACCTGGACATGTGGCACTGTGCCTCTGAGTTCTTTTGTGCTGTTTGGTTCACAGATCTCCTGCAAGGCAGAGCTGGCAATTCCATGCTAGAAGGCTGTTCTTTTGCCAGAAAGAGGACATTTGCCTCAGCCTTCAGCAAGAGACCCACGGTGGTCTTCATCACCCAGGGTCAGAGCAGTGCTATTGATCATCCAGGATTCAAGATCTATGTACATGACTAAGTAGATTGATGGAGTGAAGGAGCACAGATAAAAGCTGCATCAGCTTCCCCACTTTTCTGTCAACTATTCACTGCCTAAAGGAAAGGGGAGGGAAATAGGCAGTGTCACCATGGAGTCCTTGCTGCACTGTGCTGTGTGGGTTCTGCACAGCAGGTGCCTTTCTCGCTGTCTTCTGGAACACTGGGTGACTGGGGGGGGGGGCTGTGTGGGTGCCAGGGGCTTGTGGAGTGACACTGATGTAACTCCCATTTGCTCTGCTTTACAGGTACAATGGCCTGGTGACTGGCTCTCGAGCCAAAGGGATCATTGCCATCTGCTGGGTGTTGTCCTTCATCATCGGCCTGACCCCCATGCTGGGGTGGCACAACCGCGCCCAGATCGAAGAGTTGGGTTCCAACAGGTCCTCTCCCATCAACTGCAGCAACAGCATGGTGGCCTGTCTCTTTGAGGCTGTGGTCACCATGGAGTACATGGTCTACTACAACTTCTTTGCCTGTGTGCTCTTGCCCCTCCTCCTCATGTTTGGCATCTACTTGAAGATCTTCATGGCAGCCCGGCGACAGCTCAAGCAGATGGAGAACAAGATGGTACACGGGGAACGTTCTCGCTCCACGTTGCAGAAGGAAGTCCACGCAGCCAAATCCTTAGCCATCATTGTTGGGCTGTTTGCAGTCTGCTGGCTCCCACTACATATTATTAACTGCTTTACCCTTTTTTGCCCAGATTGTGCCCACGCTCCCCTCTGGCTGATGTATCTGGCTATCATCCTGTCTCACGCTAACTCGGTTGTAAACCCCCTAATTTATGCCTACCGAATCAGGGAGTTCCGATACACCTTCCGAAAAATCATCAGCCAGCACATCCTGGGCCGCAAGGAGCCCTTCAAGGCAGGGACAGCCAGCTCCAGGACTTCCACCCATGGCGGGGACGCAGAGAACGCCAGCATACGGATCGGTGAGTATGCGTTAGAGGTGTACACCAACGGAGAGATCCACAGGGATCCTGAAAAGCAGGACTTGAACAAATGCAAAGCTGGCTTGGAATGGCACCAGAACGGAAATGCTCTGGACCTGGAGACAAATGGGCATCTCCCACATTCCTGCAAAAATGGGATTCTCTCTGATGCATGCCTGAACAGGGAGCTTCACAGTGAAGAGCTACTTGATGCCCAGATGTCTTACTCAGATCTGGAAAGAGCAGCCTTGGCTGCAGCTGACGTTTCCTGATGGGACTTTTGAAGTCTTCCTGGTAGAATAATTTTTTTTCCATTGGTGACCTCTGCCATGGCAGAAAGGGAGGTTGGGGGGCGGGGGGAGAGGTGTGTATTCAGATTGCTGTGGAGAGAGGGGTCCCTATCCAGGACTGCTGAGGATGATCCTAAATACTAGACTGGAGAAAAGCCAAGAGGCCGTTGGACTAAGGAAGGAGGGACACGTTACCCGTCAATGACCTGTCACCGAGAGCAGTGCCAAGGTCGAGGATGGCATTCCAAGTTCAGCACTGGGAGACCCTGCTGCTGCAGGGATATTTGGACTTTATGCTGTGCTGTGTGCCTGTGGTTGTGTGTCAGTTTTGCTGTCTTTACCAACAGAAACTGAAGCATGGCTGGAAGCATTCCCTGAATGCAAAGAGCAACAGGGAAGGGGCTTTTTAGTACTGTGGCCCTGCAACAAGCAGAAGGGGGGATAGCAACATCTGTTGGTGAGGAAGGATGCCAGGAGCTGCTTGCAGATTTTACCAGATGGGAATTCTGGATACCTTCAACCATGGCATTTTGTCATTCAGTTCATGTTTTTAAAGCTTATACTGCAACAGGTTGCTTGAATGGGGTTTTTTCCATGTCTTGATAAGCTTACTTTAAGTTATAAAAGATGGGCAAGAGCTCATATCCATTCCCTGGGAGCTCAGTGTTCCGGACACACAAGGCAAATGCAACCTCTTCGCTCCCCCACTTTGTCCAGCAAATCATGAAAGCAGAGTCTGTAATACAGATTCCCCTTGGCAAAAGGGCTGTCAGCAAGACTTGGTGCTGCAGTGCCAGAGCAGCAGGCCAGGTTGGGGGATGTGTCCCCAGGCTGGGGCTGTGAAGAGTTGTTGGGTGTCTGACCTGTCTATAGGCTGGTGGCACTGTCTGCTTTTCCCCTGTCTCTGTGCTTGTCCTCCTGAGCTCCTAGAATGCAAATTCTTTCCATGGCCCCAGATGTGTGTGAAGGGAGCTAATATTCCATATTTTGGTCATTGTCATCCTCACTCAAAAGGCTGTGGGATTTTTTTCTTCTTTCTTGGGATAGGGAGGAACCCACCCACATACCTCCTACTTTTTTTTGGAATTCCAGTGAGCTCTGTTTAAACCCCTTCTCTCCTGTGATTCAGTTTTTTCCTGATGTGCTTTACTGTGAAGCCTGATGTGTCCCTGTGGTACAAAGGGCAACAGAGTGACGTGTGTGGTTAGAAGATGCTCCTACTCCGGGAAGCTGAAAGGTGTCAGTAGTATTGGAACTCAGCTTAGAAACTGCAGTTCTCTGTAAAAGAGAGCAGGCAAATCTCTGCTGCAGCAAGTGTATGCACTGATGTGGTTTGTTTTAGAGGTGTTTCACAGTAGTTTGATAGTTTTCTGTGTCACAGGAAGCCTGGCAGCTCAAGGACAGCAGAAACCCACATCAGCTTGAATTCTACCTGAGAACTGCCTGGTTTTTGTTATTCGGACAAATAATCTGTGTCTAGTACCACCAGCCTTCTGGAGACACAGGCAATACTGGTACTACTGGAAAACTAAAAGTCTGGTAATTCCAGGGATCTTATTCCCTAGCTGAAAACATCAGAAATACCCCCCAAAAGTGGCTCCTCCTCGTGTCTGTCTTCTGACATTTCAGAATCCAAGCGAAACTGGATTTTCATACTTGAGGAAGAGCAGGTTATGTTTGTATGCTTTTATTCCATGTTTATTTTATGTATCATGGACAACTAAAATGAAAAACCAGTTTTATTTGAGGAGAACTTTCCTTTTGCCAGCCTCCCTGCATGAAGGTGGGGAGCAGTTTACGATGCTGAACGTGTCTGAGTGTGTAGCTGCTCTGGGCTAGCACAAAGCTTAGTGTGAGGTGGAGAAAAAGATGTGGCTGCCACCACAACCCTGAGCAGAAAGACAGACCAGTTTGTAAAACAAATAGACTTCATAGTTTAATTGAATTGCTGCTTTCTTGGCACAGCTCTTCCCCCGTGGTCTGACGTCAGAGGAGTGGTTTATCACTCCAGCACCATTTACGAGCACCGAGCCATTTCCCTGGCGCTGACGTCACAGGTAGCTCCTCGGCAGGGTGGCTCGGGATCTCGTTATTCTTGATCTTTCTTGACGGAATATTTCTGTAGGTTGTTTGTGTGGTGGCTGCTCTGACCTCCTGTAACTGTGGCAGAGGAACTCAGGAAAATGGGGAGCTGTTCTCCTCGGGCCTCAGTTGGGAGCAGAAGTGTTTCTAAGAATAACACAAGATTACATCCGGCATTCATGTCAATAACAATTAGGTCCACAAAGAAGCAGAGCAGGGAAGGAAGTGTGGGAAAATACCAGCATGGCTCATGCTGGAACACACACGAGTGCAGAAGTGTCTCCTATTGAGCTCTGTAAAGGAGTGGTTTGTACCACACTGGATCAGACTTTCAGCTGATGTGGGTTGGTTGCTTTCTATTGTTTCCTGAGCATCTTCACACTCGATTAGGGCAGCTTCTTGCTTGGCTGCCACAAGAATCAAGTTGATCTCTGTTGATGGACAAACTTAGGATTGTCACTTTGGAAAACGTTCCTGCCCGACTGGATCACCAAGAGAGTTTATTGAGTTTCCAGATGTCCTGAAATTAGTTTTTGTGGTGCTGCTTGAGCTGCCCCCCGAGTGTGTCCAGTCCCTCTCAATATTAGTGATGCAGACATGGAATGAAAAGGGTGTGTGAAGGGGCTGGGGGATGTGTGCAGGAGGAAGAGCAGGGGGGTACGGAGGCAGTGTGGTTTGTATAGAAGTCTGTAGCCACAGGAAGGAAGGGATGGCAATTCACCACATGCTGTGAGCCTTCTGGCAAACATATGGCTGGGATGGACCTTCAGAAGATGTTTCTGAAGCGGTTGTTGGGAAGAGCATGAGTATTTTGAACAGAATTTTGGAATTCTTACTTCTTGTTTCCTAGGGATTCTGATTTTAAGGCCTCCTGCTTTTAGGGTTTGGAATCTCTTTTTTTTTTTTAAGGAAATAGTAGTTCCCATCAGTGAAGTGTGGTCTTTGCTTCTAGCAGCTCCCCACTCTTGAGAGAAGTACCTGCCTTCCAAGCTGCATAGGACCATATGCCCACTTTTCTTGCAGCTGAAGAATGTTTAGCTGATGAAATGCAGCTGTCCTGGATAAACAAATGTGGTGCCAAGACAAAGAATGGGGTGACTGTCAGGAGAGGCTGCAGAAGACCTCCTTGGGAATCCAAGGTGCAATGGACCCAGAGAGTATAGCTGGGGTAAGAAGAGACTAATTTCAGTCAACTGGAACTTCTTACTAAAAAAAAGTCTGAAGACACATGGAGAAATATGGTGCCTCGTTTGGTGTGATGGCATTCCATGAATTTCACCATTCCCTGAAGACCCTTAGGCTCCAGGGTTTATTTACTTTATAGGGTTTTAGAGAAAGCAAAGTTTGATCAGTTGCCAGGAGTAATTTTATCAAGACTTCTCGGGGCCCTCTCCTCAATAGGGCACTGCTTTTTTGTATGTGCAAATAAATGCACTTACAGCTGTGTCCTGCAGGTTTCCCTTGGGATCAGTGATAGTTCAAAGCTCTGTGCAAGCTTGAACTGCAGCTCTTGAACTAAGAAGCAACTGGGCACGGTGAGACAGCTGAGGTTACTGCAGACAGAAAGGGCTTCCCACTGATCCCAGCTGGTGCCAGGAAGCTTGTTGTGCAGGTGGACTTGCAGTGACATGGAATAGTCTGAGCCTTTGATCATTCTTTGGAAACAGACTCCAGGGGATGCTGGTGGATATAAAGAAGTCCCTAAGGTGTGGGAAATTGGAGGGTCAGGATGGATGGGAAATCTTGGTGGTGAAGGAGTATTTGTAGGGTAGGTGTTTGGGATTTCAGGGGAGCAGGGATGTGCTGGGAGATGCTGGGGAGTGCACAGATGGTGCTGGCTTGAGACCAAGGTGTGACTTGCTGAGGAAGGATTCTGGAAGGGATGTAGAGCCTTACAGCTTTCCTGGGGTCACTGCAGAGGACAAACCTTGCTTGGTGTGTGCAGAGGGTTGACTTTGTATGGTCCATATTGACTGAGGCAAGGATGGTTCTTATGGATTGTCCTTCCCAGATACTTTGTCCCATTTCATGAGCATGTCCAAGTGTAACAAAAACCCTTCTGCTTCATGAGCATGGGCCCTACCTAAAACCAAATCCATCCAGCCACACTCTGTGGAAGGACAAACGTGTTACAAAGGTGCTGCAATGCATCAAAACTGCGTAGAATTCTCTCCAGTGGTGTCTGCTAAGTTCAGCTGCCTAAAGGCCAGTTCTCTCCCAATCTGTTTTGAGTATCAAACTGCACTGAGTTGTATTGGAGTTTTCTTTCTTTCTGGCCCTGAGCTTTTGGCCTTCTTTATGGTAAAACACGTCAAGAGTAACTAAAATCACACCAGTTCCTCATTTGCATGAGAGGTGAATAACCCTCACAGACTGAGAATCCCCAGACTGGGGCAATGTTGTGTGTAACTCCCCATCTTACTTGCCTGCTGGGACTGTTCACACAAGGCTGTGTTAAAATCAAGACTGGAACCTGTTGATCTGAGAACATCCTTTGCTTCCCCCCCTGTCTCAGGAGCTAGTGTTCCTATGGGGCGGTTCTCTGTGGTCTGACAACCAAGACACTATGAACACCCTGCTGCACATGCTGTCACTATGAAACAATTACTCTTTTAATTTAAATGTTTTATGATATAGGTGTTGTTTTCCCTCTGTTTGTCAGTTACCGGGGGGGGGGGGGGGGGGGGGGGGGGGGGGGGGGGGGGGGGGGGGGGGAGGGAAGGGAGGGGGAGAATCTGTGCATGCAAATGTATTTAAAGTGCATTGACCAAAGGTTTTTTTGAATCTGTGAAGTTTTCATATCTGTGAAGTCATCAGACTGCTGGGCAGTGAGGAGCCGCTGGTGCTGCGGAGTCTGTCTTGGTTACATTTCTTAATAAGCATTAAAATAATAAAAATATATTTGTAAAAGAGAGTGTGAGTGCCTTTGTCCAAGGCAGATCCAGCTAGATGGCCCTTTTATGTGCAAGTATTTTCTTATTATTTTATCAGCTTTTTCCACAGCCTGGTCCTTCCACAGAGCTCTCTCCCTGGTGCTGCCTCTGCTTTTGCAGAAGAGATTAGCATGGACTAAGGTGCCAGACTCTAATGGACTAGAAGACCCTTCCCATCTCCAAGATCCTGGGATCTGTCATCGTGGCAGTAAGGGAAATCATGCACAGCTGCTTATGGAACACGAGGTAGAGCTGTATCCACCCAGACCGCTGCCCTGACAGGAACAGTGTGTTCCACAGCGGGACCTGGGGTGGGTCCTTAACTGGACCATGAAACAGCTTTGCCAGCTGTGGCTGGGCCATCCCACCTCCTCCATGGGCACCTCAGACCATCACCATGTCAGACCTCTGCCCTGTTCTGCCAGTGCTGCTCAGGCTGAGGTTGTCCCAGCCTGGCACCAGCCAAATTAGTCTGGAAATGGTGGCAGGGAATCTGGATGTTACTGTGGTGTCTCTCCATTCAAATCTGAGCAATGCTGACAGGCTGAAGCAGGAATACCTCCCAGCTTTTTGCAGCTGGCATCTGAGGAGGTTAGTGAAAGTCTGTACAATCCAGGAGCACTTGGAATGGGGAGGTTATGAAATGAAAGTTCACCAGATAACCATCAACTACTTGTCACTCCCTCTTTTGGGTCACTTTGCAGCTGAGCTCGAGGCCTCCTCACTGGAGTCCCAGTCTGTGGAGAGGTGCTGGCTGCCTGGTGCTCTGCAGCCAGCTGTGCCCAGGAGCTGCTCAACCAACTGTGTAATTGAAAAGCTTTTTGATTTTTCCTTCCTTTCACAAACACTGTGCGTTTTGTTCCGCAGCATCAAAGGCCGGGAGCTGGGGGAACAATGGGCGCCTGCCGGAGCCCAGTGAGAACAATGCTCGTACCTGGGAGAGAGAACTTGGAAGAACAGAGAGAGCTCCCAGCTTAGCAACACAATTGGCCTGATCTGGAAATCTCTGCTCCGAGATCCACACCTTGGCTCAGTCACCCGCAGCAACTGGACTTCGCAGGGTTTTTGCTGCAGAGAAGAGCTGACTGCAGCATTGGGGAACTGCTGCCCGTCCCAAATGGAGGAGTCGGATGGGGCTGTGGAGGGTGGGCTTTCCCCACCAATGGGAGATCATGGTTTTGGCTAAAAAGCTTTTCACAAAAGCAGCAGGATCTTCCTTGTCACTTCTGCCCCCAAACAGGAAGCCTTTGCTGCTAAGCATAGTATACACAAGTGTCTGCATGTGTTTCAAGGAGAATTTCAGGAAGTTAAAGAGCTTTGAGCACCTTTTCTGAGGCCCTGTGGACCTCACAATTTACTTTCACAGGAAAGAGTCCCCCAGTCTTGCATTCAACTAAAAAGACCAAGCATGTTCATTCAGAGGAAGGAGACAGACTTGTACCATCTTGGAATGATCCTGGAAGGAATCAATCTCTCTGATCCCACAAGTAAGCCCCTCAAGTTAGATGATGTGACTCACTGCAGGCTGGAGTCTCACTAAATAGTAAGTGGAGCTGTATTTCTCACTGACTTCCCAATCTTTTCTTCAGTGAGAAGAAAGGGGGGCACTTCTGGATGTTGCAGATGTTTTCTCAGAAATGACCCAGTGGATGTGATTGTTGGAGGGGTCTTGCTGTAAGATACACCAAAATTTCTCTGCCTCTGCAGAGGCACTGCTGAGATACTGCAGAGTGGCAAGAAAGTACTGTCCAGACCTCAGAAAATCAGAATTTCAGTTCAGGAACTGGAGTCCTTGCAACATGTCAAAGAAAGTAATCTCAGCCAAGTTTGGGTGCAAGAGTAGCATGGTGATTCAGTCTGCAAGTTCAGAGTAAACTGTGTAAAGATAAGGTTATGTGCAGTGCAGATGCATACTGTGTGGTCTGAGACTGTGACACTGAACTCCAAACCCAGGACTCTGGTTTTTGGGAGTGTCCTGCTGCAATCCAGAGAGGTGACTGCAACTTCTACGGAGCCCAGGGGAGCCTTTAAACCTGCTAGCTCGGACACCGACAGCACCGGAGCTGCAATCGCTCCAGCTTTGTTTGCCAAGGATTTACCCTGAGCCCTGGGCAGCTCTGATCTTTTGCCTTACCTAAGACAAGGAGATCAGATAACAGCTCATAATGACAATGAAGAAAATCCATGTGCGTGGGGTATCTTGCTGCCTCAGCTGTTGATGAGGTCGCAGGGATGTCTTTTGGGCTGGTGTTAGTCCAAGGTATTACTTCTAAATGGGAGTTCAGCATATCTCAGTTGGGTGCTTCATGTTGCTGGAGAACTTGCAGCTGCATCTTTTGGGTATTTGGCATCATCTGGGCTGTGAAAGCTTCTGCCTGTGCTTGGGGTTCCCATGGATGCAGGGTTCTTGTGATGACTGCATCCAGGAAAAAAATCACCTCCTAATAAAGAGAATTGAGGAGCCGGGATCAGTTCTATGAAGAATGCAAAACAAGCCTGGGCCATCTCAGGGTAAGCTGCACTCCTGGTGCCTCTTGAACCCATGTCCTGTTATTGTTGGTGTGGAACGTGAGGGTCTGGGCCAATGAAAATAAGGAAGGTGGCTTGACAGACACAGATTTTATCTTTTGAGATTCGTCATAACCTTTCTAGTGTATAATAAATAAAGTTGACTCAGGAATTGGCAAGTGCCCTATAACATGCAGTCCTGGTGTTGGGACTCGGCAGAATGTTCTGCTTAGCAATGCACTCTGTCAGCTCTGTTTGCCAAGTTCCTATTTTGGAGGTGTGCTGAACAGTGGCAGATGCTGGAGCCCTCAGCAGGGCAGGTGTGCTGGACCCAGCCTCTCTGACCGTGCTGATCCAGGGGGGATGAAGGTCGTTTTGAGTCCTTGCTGATACAACCTTTTACCACCGGGCCATAGAAAGAAAAGAAGTGTCTTGCCGAGGAATGCTG